TTTTTTTAAAAAGTACTTTAAACTGTATAAATAATGTAAAATTAAATTGATTTAAACAGCCAATCATACGAATGTCTGCCTATGAATATTTAGGATATAGGATTACATACATCATTTACCAAAAAAAATCATAATGATTTGTTCGTGTTACAGTAATGTGTACCCAGCAACACCATTAAAATCTCGCCGATCTACATATTACGTATGTGCAATTTTTTTAAGTAATAACGGAACATTATATTATAATTAGGTCATGAGTCTTATCCTATACCGAAATTTTTCAGGAAATTTTTTTTTTGCTAGTGCGCAGAATGTGATTTCATAGACAAATTTGAGTTACAGACGATTTTTTTAAAAAATGCATGATTTTCACGCTGTATCACTTAATTGGTCAGTCTGTGTGGTCAGTGAAAATCTGTTGGTGTTACTGAGTACTTTGTTATTTATTCCTCATGACTTAATGTAGATAACCCCAAAATATTATTATGTAGGTAACCCAAAAAAAATATTACTTATTGAAGTTATGCAAAGCTAGGTAAAGAAATCTGAAAAGTTATTGTATTAATTTGTGAAACTATGTTATTTCATCTATTACCTTTCAATCATTAGAACATTTACCATAAACAATAACCTAAGAATAAAGTACTATTTATTTTCCGACACGGTGGGTAAATGAGTTATTCAACGTTTCATATGACGACATGACAGGACTCGTGGTACTAATTGTTTTTATCCCAATTTCTTTGTCTCCCTTTACATTTTTATCACACCGGCTTTATTTGTTATAACCCTAGAGAAATAACAAACAAAAAAAAGGATAAAAATTGTGATAAAAATTGTGATAAAAATTGTGATAAAAATTGTGATTAATAACACATAAATCACCGTCATGCGATCATAATGAGACGGAAAAATGACACATTACACATATTCGTGCATAGTGAAGTTTGAATATTTAAATCATCACAAACATGATTACACAAAGAGAAAAAAATAGAAATGTAATTGTTCAAGAATTAATATATGCACAACAGTGACAATACTGTAATCATGTGTCTGTCATCAATAGTTTCGTTTTAGTCTATATAATGCTCTTCAAGATTCTTTGTAATCATTTTCGTGTCATGTTGCTCTATCAGGTTTCACTAGTCATAAAAAAATCAGGTCACGTAACCCTAAAATAATTAGTTGAATGGAGATGACGTAAAAGATTTAAATTCATTAATCACAGGCAATTCGGTTATTTGATCACAGGAAATTCAGTTAGTTGATCGCAAAAATTATAAATTCAAGACCTTTTCGATGTCTCGCTCTTGTAAAAATCAACTGTTTCATCAACATAAATGATGACAACGAACAATATGATTTCAAGTGTTGGTTCGCAAATCCGTGCTTCTGGATTTCTCAACAATCGAAATCACAACATTCCGAATTGTCTAGGACGTGCTAAAGTCAACGGTTTCAGCATCCTGGTCCTTTTAGTCACTCCTGAATGTCATCGATATGGTATAAATGTCCCTGTAAGGATTAGACAAGTTGCTTCATTCATATGGCGGCATGCAACACCTGCCGATAGAAGCTATTTTATAAATATAGCTGCAGGAGTAAACGAAGCAAATTTATCCGGGCGATAAAAAGGACATTTATTTATTCGAGATTATATATATATATTATATACATATATTATTTAATATTTAATAGATTAATATATATACAGTTGACTATGGATTTGACGGAATTTAAGGTCTATTTAGGATTTATAATAATAATAATAATAATAATAATAATAATAATAATAATAATTATTTTATTTATCTATTTTTGTTATTTCTTTTTTTACTACTAGATTCCTTATCCTATTAGATTACTAATTAGTTATGCACTTATCCTTTATATCCATAGTTGACTATAATAGAATGTTAAATTTAATAACCTCGTTTAATATTGCATGACATTTTTAGCAATGTTTTTGGATCAACACTAGGTTGTATACTTAAATTTCAATGCAACCTACAAGAAATTTTCAAAGAAAGTAAGCTAGAATATAAGTTAGAATATGATATGATAAAAATTAAAGAATCAAATATTTATAAATTAAGTAGGACAATTATAAGAAATTAAGTAGAACAATATAAGAAATTAAGTAGGAAAATTATAGGAAGAAATTAAATAAGATATATAAATAAATCAAAAAGATATTGTCTAGATTAATCAAATAGTTTGGTTCGTTAGAGTGAAAGTGATCGTTTTATAACTTCTTGAGCTTGTATTTTTAGCTCTACGCGCATTAAGCCTATGTAGCATGTTTATTATCTATAATTAAGGATTAGTTAATTAATTAAGCATAAAATTTCGAGAGACATGAATGATGTAAATATATGTGTAGATAAATTATTATGTTTAAGTAATTAAAACTGTATTTATTTTTTGATGAATAAAGCATAAAATGTAATTTACGTATTTCATGTAAATTTCAAGTAAAATAACTGTGACTTTAAGTTAAGCAATATAATCTATATTTACTAAATATTAGATTAACATAATATCATAGAGATTATTTACTAAGTTAGGTTATAGTTACATTGCGGCGAATTTATGAAATACTCCAAGATTTGAAAATTATGACCACTAATAAAAAATAATGATTTCTTCGAGTGAGGGTGCGTTATTATAATATATTTCTATGACCAATAGGATATGCAAAGTGGGAAAATTGGGTATCACTAAATCAGAGGTCCAAAACACTTTAGCATTGATTTATTAATATGTAATTTGGTAAATAAAAAAAAATTGGGACCAACTACTCGAATCTGGCTACTCGAATCTGGTAACCAAATTCTACAAATTCTAGTTTAATTTCATAAATTCACCGTGGTGATTAGAAAGAGATTAATATCGAAATACTATACCATTAAAATCGACTTATTTGTTTTTTATATACATAGTTTAGCTTTTTACAACAATTCTAGATTATATATAACTATGAACTCAACTTTCTTTACCGCCATTTTGTTCTAAATATTATGAGTAGCTGGTACTGTATTTTAGAAAAAGGTTTGATTCCTTGATTGTTGACGAAACTATGTAACATAGCTTTACCAATTATAGTTACCAGTGTTAAGCCAATTATAGTTACCAGTGTTAAGCCAATTATAGTTACCAGTGTTAAGCCAATTATAGTTACCAGTGATAAGAGAGGCACTTCAAATATTTCTTGCTTTTTTATGCTTTATTAGATCTCTTTCTGCCGCCTTCTTATAATATTCAAATGCCTTCTCTTCATCAATTTCAGTTCCAATTCCCGTATTATGACATTCAGCAAGTTGCACACATGCACTGATATAACCACTTTCTGCCGCTTGTTGATATAATTCAAAAGCCTTTCTTTTATCGATCTTAGTTCCATGCCCATATTGATAGCTTATCGCAAGGTTATATTGCCCTACATCCAATCCTCTTTCAGCAGCCTTTTGATAATATTCAAATGCCTTTTTGGGATCAACTTCAGTTCCTTTGCCCAACTCATAGCACAGTCCAAGACTATTATAAGCATGCATATAACCACACTCGGCTGATTTGTGATATAATTCAAATGCCTTTTTTTCATCTTTTTCAACACCTCTTCCATTTTCATAACAATATGCACAATTGTAATATCCAGACATAAGACCTTTTTCGGCAGCTTGTTCATAATATTCAAATGATTTTTTATAATCAACTTCGGTTCCTATACCATTTCCATAACAAAAACCGAGACAACTATAAGCCACAATGTATCCACCTTCTGCGGATTTTTTATCCAATTCGAAAGTTTTTTGGTCGTCTTTAACAATCCATTTTCCACAATAATAACAATCAGCAAGAATACTTTGAATTATAGGATTGATTTCATTATTATTAAGGCACCAATTGATAACATCTTCAGGATTTTGATTGTTTTTAATAAAAAATTGTTCCATTTGTTTTAGAAATGATAAAGCATTTGTTCCTTTCATCCTTTCTTCTTTATGCAAATTACATAATTGATTAACTGTTGTTTTTAAAACATTATGTTGTGTCTTACTTTTATGTGAAAATATTCCTTCATTACGCAGATCACATAATTGTTTGACAGTTCTATTCAAAAAACTTTGTGATTTCTTACTTTCACATGGCGAAACTCTATAAATATTAAAGGTAATAATCTTGATGACGTCAAACAATACTATGATAATATTGTGTTACTCTTTTTTTTGTGTAATAAGAATATAATAGCAGCTACTTACGTCTTTCTAGTTTGCTTCCTAAATATCTTTTCAATCATTCTTTAATAACATAAAAGATAGTTTAAGAGAATTGTTTTTCTTGATCATTAAAAAACCAACGACCATTTTATCCCTTACATTATTATTAATGAATGCTTAAAATTGTTTCTTTCGTTGAAACGTACGACATGAATATAAATGTACAAATGTGTAATTAGAACATTCTAAAATTCCATGTTTATAAAAATCAGATCAACTGATTTTTATTTATATTTGTGCACAATAATCATATGACATCAAAAAATGAATTTACTTTTTAACAGTACGTACACTGATCTAACTAAAATTATGCATAATTGATTATTTAAACTTCTTTATCCTCGGATGATGATTACATTTACAAGTTAAAATTTTAAAGATTATTGATGAAATTAATGTAAAATTAGTTATTGACCTTTCTACTTTAAGTATTCATTTAAACCTTTTTTTATTTTGAAATTTTATAAACAAGTTAGAGAATAAGAAAATGTGTGTTGCACTATAAAAACCTGTAACCGATCATAGTAAATCATCAATCATTAAACGCACTTAAAATGTTTTTACTCTGCAACATAAATAAACAAATATTTCTGGCCTTTAACGTTCTTGTAACTTATTTACAAATACAGTACGTATATCAGTTTCTTGACATCTGTTGCAATTCATATTATGTAAGACAACCTTATCTTAATTGGTCTTATTTTGTAACTTATATCGGTTAGTATTACATTCGTTTATCAGTTTCGTATTACATACGTTTATCAATTTCTGTAGATGTGGCAAATATATAACGTTTCTGTAGATTTGGTAAATATATAACGTTTTGAATAAATAGAAAATAATACAAAGCACCCGTAGGTACTATAAGCAGTGTATACGGTACTTCGTCTGACCGGAATTATTACGTTAGCAAAATATTTTGGACTTTAAAAAGTATAAAATTGTGAAGAGGATCCATTAAAGGTGGATTAGTGTGGTAGAAACGATCTTCGGTCCCGTGATTTCCGAGTAATGTAGATCCAATAAAATCCAGAATATCAAACACATAATCATTAGAATTTGAAATTTCTCTGCGAATTCTCCAATATCTTACAATCTACGGTGCTCTTAATTGCTCGGACCGAGGATCGTTTTTGCCACAACTAATCCACCTATCAATTAATGTTTGAAGTTCACTAATGATTAGCAATCATTATTTGTCTTCATGTTGAATCAACATCATTGCACGTTGACAAGGGCCAACGTAGTTTTATGAATCGGTACAAAAAACGTAATCGATTAATTAATTAATTAATTAATTAATATATTTTAATATAATTTCAATATAATTTTAATTTTAAACTAATTTAATAGCAATACTGAGTATAAATAAAAAAAAAAAAAAAAAAGAGGAGAGTTTAAAGAATATAGAAAATTGTTGGTTCAATAGCTTTAGAAATTTAATTAAAATAGCTGCAAGCCTTTTTGGTATAGCTTGCATGGCTAACCTGATATTAGCTTTCTGGTTTTGAAAAAATTTTCAGACCAGTGTGGCAGACTGCTTCTGGATATCCATAAGGTAGCCAGGAATGTAAAACCTAACTATTAAGCTCAATATTATGTAATATACTTATATAATAATCTTAATAAAGAATCACTGGCAAGGTTGCCAAAGTTAAAAAAATATATATATCATAGTTTCAGGTTTTTTATAAAAGAGACAGAATAGATAAAGAAAGAATTAGAAAAATTGATAAAGAATAGAGCAATTAAGAAGATATCAGAAAAAAATAAAAATCATAATAGTTTTTAAAAATAAATTTAGTCTTTATTGTTTAAACCAAATCTGAAAAATTCAGATTAGTAATAGATCTTAAAGATTAAATAAGATATTGCTACAAAAAATATTCAAGTTTAAGAATTTAGAAATATTGTTGAAAATATTAGGCAAAAATTGATAGATTCTAACTTTTGATTTAAAGAGAGGTTTGTCTAAAGCAAAAATAAATATATAATTAATTGCTAATCAAATTATAAAATTTTTATTTTGCTATAGTGAAATAAATTAGAAAAAAAAGCAAAAAATCTAAAAAATACAAAAAACAACAGTATAAATCTATCTTGGATAGGTTAATACAAATATCAGAAAAGCAATTTTGTATATATATAACTATCTAAACCTATCTTAACTCTATTTTAAAATAACCTTAACTATAAATTTAATTGTTAGTTGATCATATGATTTATCTTTACTTTAAATATTCTCTTTTTTTTTTTTTTTTTTAGTATCAGCAGCCTCACTAGTATCTTTATAAGATCAAAGCATATATAAAAAGTGTACTTAAAACTATCTAAGTTACAGATCTGATATC